TACATATAAACAAACATACTGACACATAAATACAGACATACAGACACATGCATACATACAGACGTACTGAGGTATATGTACACGGATATGGACTCTTACCTTCTCCTTGAACACATTCAGGGCCTGTTTCAAGTCCCCGGCCTTGCTGAGGGCCATCTGGGCATCGCGAACCAGGGCCGCCTTCTGACTCTCCGTCTGCCGTACAGTCGCCTCCGCCGCCGACAGCCGCCGGTTGGCATCCGTGGCCTCCGCCGTCGCCTCCGCCAGCCCCGCCTTCGCCGCCTTGAGCTCCTCGTCCAGCCGAGCTGTCTGCGCCCTGGAGACGTTGAGCGCCTGCTTCAGGTCGCCCTCGCGACTGAGGCTGGCTGTGGCCTGGCGGATGAGGGCCGCGTTCTTCTTCTCCAGCTCCTGAACCAGTGGAGGGGGGGAGGGGGAGGGGGGGGAGGGGCCAATGATACACCGTATCACTCCAAGCTATGTTATTACCCAGCTGCCCTTAGGGCTGTGTACATCAGCATTCCACACATTGCAATAATACCTACATACCTACATATAAACTCCCCTCCCCTCCCCCCCTTGCCTGTGCAGCTGTCCTGGCCGTCATGAGCTCCCCGCGGCTGTCCTCGAGCGCCTGCTTGCCCGTGGCGAGCTCCCTCTGCAGCGCGGGCACCTGCACCTCCAGCTCCCGCAGCCGGGCGCTCTTGGCCGCCAGAGCTACGTTGGCCTCGCGGACTTGCCGCTCCAGGGAGGCGACCTGGGTAAGGGGGTTAAGGGGGAGAGGGTGAGGGGGGTAGGGGGGAAGTGCAAATTGTAGACTGATAGCCAGACAGACAGACAGACAGACAGGGGGTGCGGGCGATTGGGGGAAGCTAACACAGCGCCCGTCTGATGGAAACCAAAAATACACGCCCATTATCATGCCCTGCCAGACCCCCCCCCATCCACCCCCTTACCCCCCCCACACAACCCCACCTGTGCCCTGCTCGCATTCAGCGCTTGTTTGAGGTCCTGCATCTTCCCAAGCTCCACACTGCGGCTGCGGACCAGGGAGCTGTTCTTCACCTCCAGCTCCTCAGCCGCCACACGGGCAGCTGCCAGCTCGGCCTCACGCTCGTCCAGAGCCCTCTGACGCGCCGCGACTTCAGCTGTCTGCTCGTCCAAACTGCTCTTCAGCTCCGCCAACTGCTCGGCGCGCTGCTGCAGCTGCGCAGTAGCGGTGTTGACGGCGGTCTCTAGCTTAGAGACCTGGGCCCGCGTGCTGTTGACCGCCTGCTTCAGGTCGCCCTCGCGGCCTAGACTCTGCTGAGTCATGCGCATGAGTGAGACGTTCCGCTTCTCGAGCTCCGAAGCCACTGAGCGGGCGCTGTCCAGCTCCTCCCGCATGGTCTCCATCTCCAGTCGGGAGGACTGCTGCTGCATCTGAAGCTCGGCCAGCTGCGCGTGTGTTTGCACGTATGTATGTATGTATGTACGTATGTATGTGCGTTCGTATATGTATGTGTGGGGGGGAGGGGGATAGGAGGGCGGAAAGGGGAGCGGTCAACGAATGATGAACGATCGGAGGGAATTTCCAACTCCCCCTCTCACCCCCTTCACCGCGGGGCCGCCCCCCCCCCAAATAC